ATAATTTCCCAATATTTGATAGGACATAAACTCGTATATTAAAATCTAGTAGCCTTTTCCCTATCCTTATTCTGGATTTACTATCCTTCTGGCTTACATAGTACAGTGATTGTATAATAAAAAATCTAAATTCAGATAGCTTGAAGAACCTACTACCCAATGCTAGAATTTTACACCAGAACTCTACATATTTTAATGAAAAACAATTCGTGTATTTATTACCCAAGAAATGAATATATAAAAAACCTACATTACCTCTTTTCATGGAAGGTGGGTTCTGTCGAAATCAATCAGTACCAGTAAATACACATAGTTTTTGCCACGGCCTTGAGTTTTGTTTTTGTTCAACTGAAATAAAACAGCAGTTGTTCCACACCGAATTTCCCATAAAAAACATTATTTCTTACCCAGAATTATTTTAGATCTTCAACTTTGATGCTATTCAAATCCCCTTCAGGGTAACAGTTTGTCACACTGATCAATACTATACGTAACGTGACACAGCTGTTTGACATGAAAATTTACGTTAAAATCCCAAAAACTTGGTACGAATTAATGAATCGAATAAACGTAGATTTTCTAGCGACCAACAGGCACACACTAATTCAATAGTGGGTGTTCTGTCGTTATTCGTAGGAATCATGCGTATTGATCGGATTATCGGAAGTCGATATATGTACGGGGGATTCTCGAAGTAATTTCATCGCTACCTTCCTTATACATATATGAGCCAAAAAAATTCACCAGACTATCATGTGTATAATATATTACCATCTGATATCAAGTCACTAAATACAATTTCCTTTCAAAAAAAGATAAAAATATTTCTTTTGCATCACTGCTTCTATTCAGTGGTTGAGTTTAAAGAATATATGCAACATCTTGAAGTGCATCTTTGAACACTCCTTTCAGATCCCATTCCCTCGACTCTGTTTTCTCAGAAGTGCTCTGATAAATATCATCAATATTTTCATTTTTCAGATCAGAATGATCATAAATATACTCAACGTGGTCAATCTTCATTTGTCGCTATGTCCTTCTAGATACTTTAATATATCTTCATGTATTTTTAATGTAACTGTCTTGCTATAAATGTACTTTTTGCACCAAAATCCTTCAAAAACATTTTTCCAGAGGTGATTCCGAATCGAATGAGCTATCGCTCATATTTTCAGGACTTTTATCTTAATTTTTCATGTT